GCCTAGATATAGAAAATACATATGGGGTAGTGGCCCACAAAAAAAAAAATCCTGCAGCACACAGGTATAATGAGAAAGAAATCTGAGACCGTGATTTTTGAAAAAAAACACCGACTTTGCAGTTTTTTTCGTATTTTTTTTATAGTTTATTTGTGATTTTTGGTCTCATTGATAAAGGGAAAAACATTTTACGAAATAGAGATTTTTGATTGGTTTTAGCACGGGAAAATGGGTTTTGAAACTGAGCTAAAAAGTAGCGGAAATGTTAAATTTTTGCTGAAATTCAAGATAAACAAAAAACCTCCCCATTAATAACTCAGCTGGGGGTCTAATATGCTTCACAATGTGGGGGTGACATTTTTACAATTATTACGTATTGCTAACTAAATCTTTTTTTTTTTTGGTTTTAAAAAAAATTCTTTATGTAAAAAATCAAAATGGAAAACATTGTGGGGCCTCAAAAGTAAAATGATGAACAAAGGAAATGTTAGTTTTTGTTTTAGGAATACCACATTGTTTTTTCTGGGCCCCCATTTTTAAATTGAATATTTTTGAACTTTGTGTTAAATTAACCAAATTTCCAATTTCCGATCCTTTATTTTTTAGTTGAAACAGTTTTCTTTTGGGGATTTTTTGTGTCAGTCGATAGAATAAAAGTAATCTTGGGAAAAAGCTAAGAATTTGGTCGCTGGGAAAAAGTAATTGGGCCCAAAATGCGAGCGAAGCGGCAAAATCGCCCACTGTTAATTTTACTTGACACATCAAAAAATTCCCCAGAAAAAAATTTTTGTCAATTTTTCATAAATTTCTACTTTTTTGGGTTTTTTACCCTTTAAAAAAGTTCTCACCCTTTCCCATAAGAAAAAATAACATTTTTTTTTTTTTAAATTTTTGGGCCCTGGGAGCCTTTGAAATTTGGGGTCTGGGCCCCGAAAAGGGGAAACATAATTTTTGTCATTGACATTACATGGTACATTTATTTAATAGATGATTCCCTATAATTTTTACACTCATGTCTTGTTACATTCTGGGGAAGCTAATTTACTTTTTACTGAAAAAAAATTTCTTCCCTAAAATCAGGTTTTAATGCTAGGAAAAACATTTCCAAGCTTTGATTGCGATCCAATTTTTTTAAAGTCTACAAGTATTTTTTTGGGTTTTTTTATGAAATTGTTTTGATCTTTAACAACATCACGGGAAATCATTGCCCACATGCATTAGTGTGTGTTGACGTTTACACCACCGGGGTTTTTGTGGGTCCCGGGGAATATTTCTTCTCTTGGAAAGGAATGTCATGTACGTCGTCTCATAGCATGTGATTTTTGGGGTGAAAAGAAGAAGGTCGTTTAAGTATACATTCCATAACAATGGTCCCAGCATGCTTCCTTGTGGAACACTTGCCCCAATAGGATGTCTTGCTGATTCCGTTCCATTGAAAACTACACTTAGAGATCTACCATGAAGGTAATCACTGAGGAGACATAGCGTAGAGCCTGCAATTCCCAGTGCTTGAAGTTTTGCTAAGAGGCCCTGGTGCCACACCCGGTCGAAAGTGCCAGCAATGTCCAGTGCTACCACACAGCTGACTTTGGATTCATCCAGTGACTGGTGCCACTTAGTGGAGAGGTTTAACAACAGATCAGCAGCAGAGTAACCTTTCCTGAAGCCATATTGACGATCACAAAGTAGTGAGTGATAGTCAAAAAAACTCTGTCATTTGTCTTGAGATTATTGTCTCAAGGATCTTACCAGTGATTGACAGGAGTGACACTGGTCTGTAGTTGCTGATTTCTGCTCTGCTCTTCTTTTTGTGAACAGGAACTACATTTGCCTCTTTCCATAGAGAGGGCCATTTACACTGTACTAGGCAGTGCTGAAAGGGATGCAGTTAGAGGTGCTGCTAACTGGTCTGCACATCTCAGCAATCTTTGGCTCAACTTGTCTGGGCCCACAGCCTTTTCTTGGTCAAGCGATTTAAGAAGGAAATGCACCTCCTCCTGCCTTAATGTCACCACTGACAGTTTTGACCCAGTTCTTGCAGCTAGCCAAGGAGGGTCCCTTGCTGGATCAGGAACTTGCATTTTGGTAGCAAAGTGTTCAGCAAAGAGGTCCGCCTTCTCTTGACTACTAGTAGAGGTGGTCCCATCCTGTTGATTTAGAGGTGGAATGAGTTCATCAGGCAGATAACCTCGTCTGTCCTTGACCAGGGACCACCAGGTTTTGGAGCCTACCCTACCTGATGCTAGCTTTCTTTTAGTGTCCACCTCCCATTTAGCAATGGCCCACTTTTGAACGTCACCCATATGCCTACAGGCTTGCCTGCGCAAGTTCCTGTTATAGGTGGTAGGATGTCTCTTATACCTTCACCATGCTTTGTACGTAGCAGTAGCAGCCTCTCTACAACGAAAGCCAAACCAAGGCTGATCTGTAGGCTTCGTCACATGTTGCCGGTGAGGAATGTGTTCTTGTTGTAGATTAAGGATGTGTCCAGTGAAGGCTTTCACTTGGTTGTCAACATCCCCTTGGAGAAGAGCATTCCAATCGGTGGTGGCGAGCTCAGAGCGAAGGGCTGGCCAGTTACCTCTTTCCCATAGCCAGGTTGTGCGTGTGGACTCCTCACCTCATTCTGTTGGGATCTTAAGTGTCGTAAAAACAGCCTTGTGGTCAGACGATCCAACGTAGCCGAGGGGTTGACAAGTGACTATGCCTTCTGCCAGATCACTCACTACTGGGTCAAGGGAGGAGACAGAGATGTGAGTAGAGAAATCAACGAAGTTTCTCATGAAGGTCATCAAAGTCCCTCTGTATAAGGTGCTGGTTGAAGTCACCAACGATTATGATATGTTGACATTTGTGTTGTTGCAGAAGGGAGTCAATATTTTCCATTAGGAAGTTGATGGGGTCTGCATGTTGCCACTGAGGTCTGTACATTGCACATGCTAGTACAGAGGTACTAGTGTTTATACAGAGCTTGAAGAACATCATTTCAAAATGTGTAGGGGTGGCAACATCAATGTGCTGGGCATGAACACTTAACCTCTCTCCCTCCGTTTCTCTCCCTCTCTCTCTCTCTCTCACTCTCACTCTCTCTCTCCCTCTCTTTTTTTTTTTTTTTTTTTTTTTTACGCAGGGTTTGACAAGGTTAAGGATCCCTAGCTTTATTGACAAGCTATTACAGGTTAAGGAATCCTAACTTTATTGGACAGGCTTCCCTTAAACTTTACTTTTTTAACAACATGGGGCCCCAACTTTCCCCCCCCCCCCCTTTTT